TCCACCTTCCATAAATGGGTTATCGCGTCGTTAATATTCATATTCGGTGTACGAAGTATCACGATTCTCTCATATACGCGTCATTCTTCTATAACAGGATTATGCGAACAATAATATTTACAGGCTCCTCAAAACCTGACCCATTGTGATTGCCGCACGTTCGCGGACCAAATTGTCCATTCGAGATTTATAATCGATTTACAGAATAAATTGTTCGTTTGGAGACTTATAATTCGTAACGCAGAATTTAAATGGCTGGAAAAAATCATGTTAATTCTTCCACAATTTTGTTTGTATCTTAAAACATAGCCAGGAACTTAGAAATAAAAAATGGTTACGAGTAAAAGAATAATATGGTAAAGCGTGAAAGTGCAAAGTCCATATGTACGAGTAACAAATGTAATATGTAATATACGAAATAGCGTAGAAAGGAGAACAATGTAAAAAATTTCAGGGGTTATAAAACGTTTTACGATATGTTATAATACAAACATTCATTCGTTCTTGAAGTTCCTATTTCCTGTATGTAAAGGATGCTTACCAAGAGGGTCTACAATACATGAGTTATTACCGCAGGGAAGAAAATAGTAAAAATGGACGCGACGCAGCAAATATCACCCATGCATAGTATTTTAGAAATTTATAACGCTTCTAAAAAGTGCACAGAAACTTGAGGGAACGAAATAATTTAGCAGGAAATTGAAATTTAAGGAAACGAAGTAAACGCGTAGCAAGAAGCATGCACAGTCTAGATAAATAAAAGACTCTCTTAACAAACTACCTGTTCCAGAACATTCATCGCGCGGATAGAATTCTTTCAACGTACTCTTTTGGATTAAATAGCAGTAATAAATTGCTAGTTACCAGCGCAACGTTATTGATTTTAACGCAGTAACTTTTATTCCCAATAATTTAAACGTTTCGAACAGATAAATCGAATGGCTTTCCTATTTGCTCGACACGTCCAACGAAAGGTGCGCGAAATAAATATAAAATAATAATTTTGTCGTTCAATACAGTCAATCGTTCTGTTACAGCGATTCAAGCTGACCCGACCTACGCGTTTCTAATCTGCAATGCACGGTTCTCCTCGCAACTTCGAAATATGGAGCAACTTGCATCGAAACTCTCAAGATCGCGAGGCTGTTGGTCGCTGCCAATGGACAAAGGGGAATCTGCAACCCAAGGCAGCGGATTTCAGATTGGTTCCTCTTTGGAACGTACAACCACGACCGTTTGACTCTGTACAAACTTCTGAGATCACGAACTTGAACGCGTAATTGTTTTAACGCTCCAAATCGTGACGTATATTCCGGACTCCGGCGAAACTATGTATCAAGTAGACAGATCGAAACTATGGTTAAGTACGTCTTTATGGATCTTGGACTCTCCTATGCTCGTTGAGTTTCGAATTAGACGAGTATAGTTCTCGGCTGCGGGGCTACGATAAGTTCCTTGGCGTTACGAGAATACTAGCAATTGTAATTTTCGCTTTAAACATCCGTTTTGACGCTCGATGCTTCTTTACGAAATTATATAATTATATTCATGCGGTATGTTAAAGTAAAATTGTATTGCATCGCGTGAGTAGATCGAAGAGAATCCAGAAGCGATCAGACCTTCGATATTAGACGATTCCACTCGTGGAAGTTCTTGATTAATCTTCGAACAGTCGAGTAATCAAGATCAGCTAATTAATCAGGTAATCAATCAGTCAATTAGGCTCGATCACCCAATTGTAGTCGGTATTGTCGTCTGTTTATTACAGCATACGTTCGCGAAACCGATACACGTTCAATCTCACAAAATTAAGGGCAACTGTAAATCAGATTTAAGACGTCATGTATTAGGTGTACAAATAAATAATCCAAATTATCTTAAGCAGTTATAAAATCAAGTTTAAAGTCAATTTTCCCGCTCTTTTGCGGTCATATAGTGACATATAGCTAGTTAAAACAAAAGATAGTTTAGCGAAAGGCTCAACATAACCTTCAAAAGTATACTATTCAATAGAGTCGAAAATGGCAACAGATAAGATGCATATCCGACACTGCATTCTTTACGAATTCCAACAAGGGTAAAATGTTGCAAGAGCATGCGAATCGATTTGTTCCTTTCTCGGTGAAGGTGTTGTATCGTATGATGTGTGCGCATTTTGGTTTAATTGGTTTAAGCGGTAATTCGAGTCTAATCGACGAACAACGCCCTGGAGGCCCTCGGAAGTGCGACAACGATGATTTGGAACAACTGCTCGCTGAGCATGCGACACAAACGCAAAAAGAACTTGCAGAACAGTTAGGAGTAACCCAACATACGATTTCCAAACGCCTACGTGAAATGGGAAAGATCCAGAAAGAAGGAAAATGGGTTCCGCATGAACTCACTGTAACCAACAAAAATCAACGAATGGCAGCGTGTCTTTCTCTTCTCAATAAACAGCGTCGAAAGTCTTTCTTGTGGAAAATCGTTACGGGCGATGAGAAGTGGATACTCTATGACAATTCGAAACGCAGACAGTCATGGGTAAATCCCGACGAAGCGTCAATATCGGTTGCAAAACCCAATCGCTTCGGAAAGAAGGTTCTTCTCTGCATTTGGTGGGATATCAAGGGCGTGGTTTATTAGGAGTTGTTGGAATCGGGTGAAATAGTTACTGCGGACTGCTACCAATGTCAATTGATCTGCTTGAGTCAAGCATTGGAACGAAAACGTCCGTATACTGGCAAAGGGGAACGTCCAGTGAAATTGTTGCATGACAACACTAGGTCACATATTACTTCCCATAGAAATGTTGGAATCCGGGTGATCAAGTAATGCTCCTTTTGTATAATCAGAGTTTATTCATGACCGATGAACACACGCCGAACTCAACTATGAAGAATTTCCAATGGAAGTTGACTCTAGACAAGGCGTTAACACCCGCAGACTTCTTGTGCAACTCTAAGGCCCCCGGCTTTGCGGTCACGGGGATATATGTATATGTCTTAGCGATAGTAGGGGAGGAAGACCCTTAGACCTACTGACTAACGAGCCCTGTGACTAACATCGATGACGTATCGATGTTCCGATCGATGCAACACGCCTTATCCGATATGCACTTCAAATCAGTGGATGAGATCCGAAAATGGCTTGACGACTTTATCGGGCCCAAAAACGTAAAATTTTCTCGAGATGGAATTCATCAGCTGTCTCAAAGATGGCTTACAGTTATAGAAAGTAACGGCGAATACTTTGATTGAACAATTCAATTTACTTTTGTAACAAGTGTACGTGTTTGGACCGTGGTTGGCGTCGATAATGTTTAGTCTAAGCTAGAGTAGGTATCGGGTGAGGTGTTTAGGTTTAAGCTAAAATACATTCGGGGGGGCTGCGACTCGAACGTGCGTTTTGTTGAGATCATTATGAAGATAGGAATAAGGAAAGTTCAACTTTGACTGCAGGAACGGCACTCTGTATCGAACGTTAGTCGAGAGCAGTCACAGTTTTACGTTTATGATCTTTTACGTTTACGTTTTATGTCTTTCTTTTATGTTCTTCATGTTAAATAGTTAGTAAATATCAAATAGTATAGTTTATATAGTTACGTTTATTGTCCACGTGTTTGAATCCGACCATACGCCTCTGACCATCCTCGACAATCCTTACACTTTCTTTTAAAATAAACATTGAATGTGATTGAAAAAATTGGATCATTCATTTGTACACCTAATATAATGACAATTTATCTTGATTTTTCGTTTCCGTTCGCGTAAACGCTTATAAATAATTTCACTAACCTACATATCAACGTCGCGTCGGACGTTAAAACATAAAACGTTGCGCTCCGCGAAGACGCGCAAAAATGGATTAAAAATTTCACCGGGACATTTGCCTAACTCGGTTATTTTTGTAAAAGTTCGCGAACCACGGTTCGGGGAAGCGTCAATCCAAACTATCCGTTTATATAGCGGAGATACTCGCGCGCTGATACTTTCTTTCGAGAACATTATTTAGTGGAAAGTACTTATTCACGGGTGCAGTAAACCGGCCATTATAACTCTCCGGAGGCAAATAACCGCGGAGCTTACTCCACCATATCGCTCGTATTCATAAATCGAGCCACGAGATCTCTCCTAGTTGGACAAAAGGGTACGACGAATGTTACTCGCGAGAAAGACTATAACGGGAGGGGACTTGATAATGAGCCCAAGAAGATACGAAGGTATCGCGGAATAAATCCGTGGCTTGGAATAAATGATAAAGGCGCGGGGGGCGGGGAAAACGATCCTTGAGAAACACCGAAGCGGTGTTATCGAGGTCGTTGAATACGAGAACACAGGAAGATCTACCAGGGGGAAACGTAGCACTTCGCGCTGTTCTCTTGACCCTGGAGCACAACAGCGCTTAACGAGCTGAAAACCGTCCCGACGATCCTCCGCGAAACGGTCCATTTGTATCGTTGCTGCTTTCTTACAGGATGAAAGCCGAGATTTCCACGGGTATAAAATTATCATTACCCCGGCAGGCTCGAGCATTAAACATTCAAATGACTCGTTAAACATTTATCAGCATGCTTTTCCTTATCCGTTCGATTATAAATTATTCGGTCACTCGAAGATGCAGCCTCATCGTTTCGAATGCGCCCCGGAAGATTTCTAACTCGTAAATCGAAACTCTCGGAGCACGATTAAAAGCAAATTTTATGTAGAGAGCGCTCGACGATAAATAAATTCGAATTCGTTGATTTGCCAATAAAAAATTTGCATAGGACATTATCGCTTCCGCAAACAGGCTGTTATTAAGATCGAATAATAAAATTCACCGCAATTTTCCTCGTTATTAGCAACATGAAAAATCAGATTCGTTACTATTCTCGTGCAACAGTTAAACAATTACGCGAAAAGTTCCCCGGCCGAGATTCTCGTAATTAGTCGAGGCGGAAGCACGAAAGAATCGACGAAGGATTTTATTGGCTCGAGCCTAGAGACGATAATCAATTTTTCCAATGTCCAAGTACTCACCGTTTTGTAGACGGAGGCAGAGGTTCCAAGGCGGTTCGATTCTGAAACAAAAACGAAGATAACCGATTAGTACGGGCGGGTGATCGGTCTCGGTCGAGATTTTATCGAAATTATTGCCTCCCTTTGTCCGACGAGAAGTAAGTTTCTCTCGGTCCAGCGTCACGCAACGCTGGAAGCTGTATTAAAAATTCAAAGGTGGGTCTGCCGGATGGACCGAAGGAGGAGAACAGAGAGGCGGAGGGAGAATTGAAAGAGAAATTGAACTTCTAACTCGGTTGCGGCGTCGACGAAAAAGCACCCCTGACCTTCGAGCACTCCAGAGACGATCATTCCTTCCCTCTTTCATCTCCGGGGATTCTTTGCCTTTCCCTCTCGACAAGAAGTTTCATTCGTCTCCCGCGCTTCCAGCCTTTTTCCCTTCGAAACTACCGAAGAAATGTATTACATCGGACTCCGTGTAATACCGTCGGAAGTCCGACCTCACGCGGAAGTCTAGCCTTCGATGTGTCTTCGCTACGAAACAACCAACAATTTGCGAAACAAACTCGAATTCCTTTGTTAACAGTATAGAACGCCTAGGCAATTAAACATGTTAATAGAAGATATATTTCATATTTAAAATCGAACGTAGTGTACGATGCGTTAGAAGTGGACCTTAATCGTGAAAATACCATTGGAAAATAAACAACCAACACTTTTCCTTTCATTTCAATTCGTGAAACAAACTCGAATTCCTTTGTTAACAGTATAGAACGCCTAGGCAATTAAACATGTTAATAGAAGATATATTTCATATTTAAAATCGAACGTAGTGTACGATGCGTTAGAAGTGGACCTTAATCGTGAAAATACCATTGGAAAATAAACAACCAACACTTTTCCTTTCATTTCAATTCGTGAAACAAACTCGAATTCCTTTGTTAACAGTATAGAACGCATAGGCAATTATATATGTTAATAGAAGATATATTTGATATATAAAATCGAACGTAGTGTACGATGCATTAGAAGTGGACCTTAATCGTGAAAATACCATTGGAGAATAAACAACCACCACTTTTCCTTTGATTTCAATTCGTGAAACAAACTCGAATTCCTTTATTAACAGTATAGAACGCCTAGGCAATTAAATATGTTAATAGAAGATATATTTAATGTTTAAAATAGAATGTAGTGTACGATGCGTTAGAAGTGGACCTTAATCGTGAAAATACCATTGGAGAATAAACAACCACCACTTTTCCTTTCATTTCAATTCGTGAAACAAACTCGAATTCCTTTGTTAACAGTATAGAACGCCTAGGCAATTAAACATGTTAATAGAAGATATATTTCATATTTAAAATCGAACGTAGTGTACGATGCGTTAGAAGTGGACCTTAATCGTGAAAATACCATTGGAGAATAAACAACCAACACTTTTCCTTTCATTTCAATTCGTCAAACAAACTCGAATACCTTTGTTAACAGTATAGAACGCCTAGGCAATTAAACATGTTAATAGAAGATATATTTCATATTTAAAATCGAACGTAGTGTACGATGCGTTAGAAGTGGACCTTAATCGTGAAAATACCATTGGAGAATAAACAACCACCACTTTTCCTTTCATTTCAATTCGTGAAACAAACTCGAATTCCTTTGTTAACAGTATAGAACGCCTAGGCAATTAAACATGTTAATAGAAGATATATTTCATATTTAAAATCGAACGTAGTGTACGATGCGTTAAAAGTGGACCTTAATCGTGAAAATACGTGGACGAAAATATTTTGCAAGGCGTACGCCGATAGCAAATATCATTGGAAAATTGGTAAACGAAAGCGAGTATTTTGAAGAGTCTGAACATAACGAGAAACGACTATTATCGACAGCTGTCGACGATATCTAGATTCTAGGTCTGGGTAGAGATCGTCGATCGCTTATTACGGCCAGGAGACACGAAGAGGTTTATTAAGCGACCCATTTTTCTCGACAGAGTTGCACTTTTCCAAGGGAAATAAAATTCCGTAACGCGGAAACAGTAACGCGATAAATATCGTGTTTAAATTATACATTGAGCAAAACAATTTTTTAGATTCCGCACTATCGCGTATCGTCGGTCGCGTGCAAAATAGGGACGAGAGGAAAAGAGAACGAATAACCATAGAATATGTTTTTCTCTGCGCCACGATTTTACGACCGTACGAAATATTTATATTTTTCTACAAACTAGAGCAACGATAGAATAAAAAATTCTTTTATTCTTTTATTTTGCTATCGAGGAAGTTTAGCTACAGGCGACCGCGATTCGTTACAAATATTTCTCTCTTACGCTGTTATTCGAACACGTTGACTTCCAGAACAAATCCCCCCCAAATTGTCTATGAGAACGAAATTAACATATCCACGATTTGTCATGGAACTTATTTTTACAGGATTCCTATCTAGTTTTATTTTTTTTTTCGTCGATGTGCTAGACTCTTTCGAGTCGCTGATTCAATTAGAGAAATCGTTTTGTGTTGCTTATCAAATTTCAAGTAATAGGAAGTGGTTCGGTAACGCGTCGACTCCGATAAAAATTAATTAGTCCTGCGATCTTAGGGAGCGAGGATAATCACGCGGTGGCAGTCTTTATCGTTGGTAGGCGCGCGAGAATATAAATCGCTACGGGCGCTATCGTTGACTCGCGAGCGTGCAGCTTGATTCTTTGTTGCTCGATCCAGCGAGACGTCGATCAACCCTTTCTGCCACATATCCCTTTTAATTAAAACGAGCCTCGCCGGTGCAATAACGAATTCCGAGGCGACGCGGTAATGGCCACGGGCAAATGGGTCTATTGCAGCTGCAATTAACGTTACGTCGCAATTAATATCGAGTCAACGAAGCGTCGACGCGTTTTTCCATGAAATCGCATTTAATCGACGGACAGGGCTGGAATTTCGAGAGGTGACTAATTCTGAACCTGTTTGCCCGTATCTACAACTTTTGTGTCAACAATGGACGCCGACAAAGTTGGGCAAATTTTATTTCCGAATATTTTTTCGTAATTTGCTTTAATTTAAATTTCATTTCTGACAAATTATAATATATAACTAGCAAAGTCCCCAAAATGTGATTCATATTTTTAAAAACTGTATTTGCTTTTTAATTGCTAGAAATATTGAACCGACGCAGCTACAGTTTTTTAGCTTTTTTAGTTTATGCACAAAATTCAAACTATAGACCTTGTTTAAAACATTTTATTCGTGCGGAGATAAAAATATGAACTATAGATGTAGAATGATCGATGGTAGACTATTTCTCAATAGAATATAAAATATTTTTAGCTGTATTAACGAAAAGGGTGTTTTTATTAAATATATTCTTGGTATCTGACATAAACGTAGACAATCCTTAATGCTGGTTTTTCATACTAAACAGGATGGCTTTGAAACGGATGGCAGCCGTACAGGAGGTGGGCTGAGGCATACTTAATGAGGCAAATGTTGTCAAAGAAATCGTTAAGGATATCAGTATCGTTATTAACGTCGTCTGAGCTTCAGTAAATTTTCAAACTAGGAACATCATTTTCTTCAATAACGCTGAATTTCATTTACCTCGTTAACGCGTTTACGAATTGGGTAACGTGTCTGCCTGCGACTGATTATGTGAGATTATTTGGTCGTAATTAGAATACAGAAAGATCGATAGTCGACGGATAGTACTATATTATCATCGATACAGGTTGTCCAAAAAGGTATTGACCCGAATTTATTAAAAATAGATGAAAAAAATTTATATAAACTTATATCCGAAATTGCTTTATTGAAAAAATGATAAGCTTTTAAAGATATTTACTATTATTTCCAATACAAATAGAATATTTCAAAGAGTTCTACTATCGTTAATTCGACAAATTCTCTACATTCTTACAGAGGGAGGAATCGTCGAACATTTTTTACAACTACCACAATAAATCATAAATATCTTCACAAGCTCATATCTTTTCAATAAAGCATTCTCCATCGATTTGACCTCAATAAAACGTAGTATAAGTTTGGTTTCAACCTTTTCGAAATACCCTGTATTTACAAACATTAACAGAAGTAGAAAGAGCGTGTAATAGTCGGGCACTCGATAGTACGAGTACGCCAAGAACTTTCAAAATAAATTTTCTCAAAAACAATGACCCCCTGCCTTAAATTCAAAATTGTTTCGAATAATCGCGGTGTGGCTCGATATGGGAGCCAAGAATTAATTTGTAGACCTTTTGGCGGAGACTGGATCTCCATATTCGATTAATCCTGTAAACAGGAAACGCTATTTACGAAACAAATCGTCCCGTTCTTAATTTGTAGACCCTTTGGTTTACTATGGAGACTGGATCTCCATATTCGATTAATCCTGTAAACAGGAAACGCCATTTACGAAACAAATCGTCCCGTTCTTAATTTGTAGACCCTTTGGTTTACTATGGAGACTGGATATCCATATTCGATTAATTCTGTAAACCGGAAACGCCATTTACGAAACAAATCGTCCCGTTCTCACGGCTCGTCGAGACGTTTCCGTCCGTCGTCGAGCGGCTCTGAATTTTCCACACCTCGCACGTCTTCTATTAGGTTTTCTATGAACAGTTCTCGTACGTGCGCTATTGTACGCCGTAAACTCCCCCGTGCACCTACGCGAATCCTCGTGCCTCGTCGCCAAACTGTCTCATGGACGCGTGTACAGCTTCTATTATGTTTCCCCGTGAATTTCTTTCTTCCCCAACCCCCTCCCCCCTCGTTGCATCGGTGTGCAATTTTTCCCTTACATTTTACCCTGAAATTTTCCTTCCTGGCGCACGCGTTCTATCTTAATGCTGCGCCACGAAACTTTCCTGCAGTTTCTACGTGCTCCTGGCACGCTTTACAGGCTACATGTAAATAAGCTGGCCGACCGTCCGCGCGCGGAACCATCCTGCGGATGTGTGCGCGACCCGACGATTATTAAAGCAGCTATTATATGCGCGCGTGACATTATAGTTCACGGAAAGAGAGTGATAGAGGGTGTGGGAGAGAGTGGGAAAGCAAAGGTG